AACATTTAACAGAAGGAATTTCACTTAGTACCTGTATCCGCCTTAAAGGCCCAACAAATACAGCCCCATATTGAGATGAAGCTCAATGACCTGGAGGTGACAGGTCATACGGAATTACATAGACTGTTGGTTGCACCGGGTACACTTTCCAACATCCTTTCAGCTTTAGAGTCTGGTAACCAAACTGTTTTTGACGCACCTTACCTGCCCAGACTCTGGATAAAGGGGTCACCTCACTAAGCATGCTAGCTATAAACCACTGCCACTATGAGTCCAACCTAATCACTGGAGCAACCACTGTCACCAGGTACCGGTCTTCGTAGTACCACTTATGAACGTCTATTCGCAGGTCTTACCGACAGGAGTTTAGCTACTGTCTTCTATGTAGATTTGGACCTTCTGTCCAGAGCTTGATGGGCTCAGGTGAGCATTTAACAATGATATATCCTTTTTGAATAGAAATGTATCTTTTATCAGTTTCGACAATAAAATACAAACATATTCGCATATAACTGGTATCAGCCGGAAGTTAATTCATAGATAACTATTAGAACAGATAGAAAAGGCCATGTAAAGGTCGTCTATGACTTCAATCAATCCCTTCTATAATGTACAATCTTCTATTCATTATTTATTTCCGCGTGCTTTCATGCTTGTTTCTTTTTTCTACGATGTAAAGAAAACTCTTTGTTATCATTATTGAATAAAAAAACAATCCTTCCGTTGATGCAAGTTAATTTCGCAAATACGAAATTTAGATCGTCAATGAAGAAAGAGTTAATTATTGGAATTACCTACAAATGTTCGAAACGCACGCAGATCATTTGTCTCGTGACGATCGAGAAAGAACGAGCTTTCGATGTCACAGGAGAAAGAAAGGAAACGCGTGATGAACAGCAAATAGTTTGGATGTTTGCAACGGCTAAAGAAAACTCGGGACTAGCGGTATCCGAGATCGGTCGAGTGTCGAGGCAATGTAAAAGGTAAAGTTTACCTGGGAAACGGTTCCGACGCATCTTTTGCTTGGTAAGTTTCATTTGAAATTTAAATCGGAAACAAATATTTCGAACGAACGTTTCAGTTTTTAATTAAAACGAAATAGACGAGAAAAGAGAAGGGAACGACGAAGTTCAAGGTACATTTAATCAGTCATAAATAATATCGACGTATGATGCATTCAATGCTATGATCAATTACAACCTCGAAGACACAAGTGGCAAGAAATAATCTTCCCGAAGTATTCTGAACGAGTAAACCAGCGCATTGTTAATAATTCACAATTGAAACCCTCGAAAAAGCTATCCCCTTAGTTTCTTTAGGGTAGAGGCGTGCGTCAGCGTCAACGATTCGGAGAAATCAACGATCCTTACGTCGCAGTCGCTAAACAATCGACCCCTTAATCCACTACGCCGAGAGAAAGTCCAATTTATTGCCATCCCCAGATATTCATTCCCCCATCTTAACCGTGAGTTCCAGGAAAACGCAAACAGAAAGAACCGTTCGTAACATTCGTTCGGCTTGAGATTTCCCGCAATTATCAACTGCGCAGGACATCTTCAGTTAATATATTGTCATCGATCAACCGCAAGAACCTGTAGCTCTGACCCAGTGGCAGAGTGAAACCGGAAACCTTTGACACTGCTGCAAGAGTAAGAAAACAGAGGAACTTTTTCTTCAGAATTCTTGGAAAGAAGTCAAAGGAAAAAACCGGAAAGCGAGATGAAAACTCGAAAGTTTCTCTGCACCAACAACAAATCATTTAACACGTTCGCGACCACGGCCACATTGGAAATACCCTTGCTGTGGACCGTGCTTTCTTTACAATAATTTTACGAAATATGTTAACCCGTACTCATATGAAACATGATAAATAAGACAAATGAAGCATTTCAAGGTCACACCACGGTCAAATACCTCTCACCGTGATACGTAGCATCATACCGTGTAACTTTCGTTTGACTGATACTTTTCGAGATAATTCGGTGTTTTCACTCCGGCTCCCATACATTCTTTTTTAAACAAAATCTATTTCTATCTCGGAAACTACTGACTTTTAGATCCATGTTTACTAGGATGTTTTTACTCAGTTTGGTGAGCTGTATACGCCCTATGATTTGTTCGGTATATTTTAGAAACTCCCTGTACGTGACGCGTGGTCGCGAACGTGTTAAACCCAGGGAAAACACGTTGTTCTCATTATGAGTCACGCCGGAATCAGTAAACAAGAAAACCGACGGTAACGGTCAATTAATAATCAATTACGTACAGAAAAACAACAAGCGGCAACAGAATAGACGAGCGTCTTCTATGTTTTCGAACGGTCTTTCATCCTCGTCGGGAGGAAGATCGAAACGTTGCCGACGTTTTCAGGCACTCCACGCTATCCTCGTATAATCTGTTGCGTTTGAATTGCATTTGCATGCGCGCACGACCTGCGATGATAGCAAGTCCCGCCTTTTTACATGCACGAGTACAAGAAATGCGACGTTAATGGTATTAACGACGCGGCGTACAAGGTAAAAATCTTCTTCCCCGTTTTTTTCCCCGTTCCTTTTTGTTCGAACGCGTTAACGAGTCGCTTGTGAACGGAAACGTAACTGTAACCTGCCGGATAGCGGGGTGAAGGAGCCGACATTGAATAACTTTGCATCCGAGTAACCGCCTACGGACACGGTGAGCACGAGTCGCGTTAACGATGAATGAGATTACAATTATACTTGGATCACGGTGGCGTGGCGATAGAAAACACACGACGCGGAGAGAAGCCCGCCACGCGGCTTCGGCTTCGGCTTCGGCACAGGCTCAACGCAACGGTGCGGTGCGGTGCGGTGCGGTGCGGTGCGGTGCGGTGCGGTGCGGTGCGGTGCGGTGCAGTGCAGTGCAGTGCAGTGCAGTGCGATGCAATGTGGCGTGCCGCGCACGAGTCCCAGCTGAACGTAAACATTCCGATGCTTTGGGACTTTATTTGGGAGCATGCCGTTGCGGCCACGTGTAATTCAAGCATTCATGTGAAAAGCATCGATTGTATTGCGTCGATCGAGCGTCAACGACATAATTGATACCTTCTGACGCGGTTTTCTTGGAAACGAGTGCGGATATGATGAGCAGGCAGAGTGTGTGTTCTTCAAATGTATTGTAGATGTTCGTGGGCATGCACGATTGGGAGTTATGTGTTTTATATGCGTCTGAATGGCATCTGATGAGAGAATGAATTTGCGGGATGGAATTTAGGAAATGAGAACGGACTTAAGTTTCTTCGATTTCTTAAAGAAAGAAAGGGAATTGTCTTGGAAATAGCTGACACGGTGTAGTAATTTTTTGAACGATTGGAATGATATTCTTTTTTTCATAGTTGACATGAAGATAATAAACATTCATAAATGAGAAATGCAACAGTTATTCAAACTGCCATAGAAAAAAAAGGAAACGGTGATACGTTGCATGAAGAGATTGCTATAAATAATGAATAAATCGTTGCAACGCTGTGGTGCGTGTAAGCTCGCTGATAAATAAACTATCACCGCGGTTCAATTCCATTGTTTTCATCATGCGAATAAAAAACATCAACTAAATATTTACCACCAATGCTCACAAAGATATCTGGGGAGTTGTAACTCGAACGTAAACGCGTGAAATTGTATAATGTGTTTCGAAATGCATAAAACTTTGACAACAGTGAAACCGTGTGTACTCAATTAAGAAAAAAGTACACGCCGATAACTTTGAAATATTTTTTGTTCAAAGCTTTCAGCTTGGACCAAACACACCCAATGTATTTTCTATATACGTTTCTATTTTCACCGATGAATGAGCGCGTAGCAAAACTGCAGTGTCATAGTTCATTATTATTGTTATTATTGTAAACATACGAACGACGAGAGACCCGAAATCGATTCAAATAGTGAATGACTAATTCTACTTTGCTCTAATGAATGGCCGCGTGACGAAAAATATTACTATTATTAACACTACCATTATTATTATTCCTATTAACACACTGCCAACCGCGCATTTTTCGCAAGCCCGTAGTAACCTTTCCAAATGAAGACTCTCGTAAACGGTAGAAGACGTTTCAAACAACAAATAATAACTGAACAACAATAATTCTTTATTTCATATAACCTGACTATTAAAGATTCCAATTGAAAGCTAAATGAATAATTATCAAATGAAATGGTAATTCAGATTATATATCAAGCGACGATTGACGAGCGAACTAATATCACTTTGAAAAATAAACAGAATCGATATATTGCGTTAACCCCTTGCCGTATTATTTACTTTCGCTACTGAGCTCGTATAGCATTTTACTACTAACAATTTAGGAGAAAAGCAACAAAATTGACCATTTTACTTTAAACAGACGTTTCATTTGAAGATAATACATTGATAGTAACAAAATAGCTTATTACTTTGATCCGTGGGGAATGAACAACATTGAGTCTTGTTAAATTAATCTAGAAATTTTCATCACGAGTCTCACTTGTCATTGTATGGCAAGGGGTTTTAAGAGACGATTGACGAGCGAACTAATATCATTTCGAAAAATAAACATGGTCGATTTATTGCGTTAAGAAACGATTGACGAGCAGACTAATATCATTTCGAAAAATAAACGTGGCCGGTTCGGCAATGATTCTGGCGCGCGTTTCCGAACGGCGTGCAGTAGAGCGACGCCGATCGGCGACAGAACGCGAGAAAGAGGTGAGTTCGATCGCGGGACGACCGGGTATCGAGAGCGCGACGTTTCTCGATTTCTCGGTTTCACGGCGGTGTCGACGCTCCCGCTCCGAAAATACAAATACTCTCGGTATAGAGTGAGGGGCTCCACTCACTGTGTTTCTCTCTCTCTCTCCTTCTCTACCTCCCTCTCACTCTGTTCCTCTCTCCCGAGCAAGAGCGAGAGAGGCACGTATAGAGCGCGCGAGCGCTCGGCCGTCACAACGCAACAGACTATCTCTCTCTCACGTGGAGGATACCTCTAAAAAGAATCGACTTACCGAGTCAACGTGGTCGTCGTACAATCACCCGGATGCTCCCCTTCGAGATGTCGAGACGCAGTTGCGATCGAGAGTCGATCGATAACCATGGAGGAGAATCGGTCGGCAGTAACAGAACAATAACAACCAACAACAACAAACAGCACACTTGTTCTCTTGTGAATACGAGCACGCTCCGCAGTACTCACCACACGCGTAAGTAGTAACACATGTATATGTACATATACATATAAATATAAATATTTATATATATATATATCTATACATATGTATCTATATATATGTATTACACATACGAATATACATATATTTATATATATATTTTTATATATATACACAATACACATGCACACGGAACGCCAGAAAACGCGCAAGAGAGATACAGAGCGGAGAAACTCGTTGAT